TATTCTGCTCTTTATTAAAAGCCGTAATATTTCCATTGATATCGTCGTGTAATGATAAGCCATCTCTCATGTAGGCTAGATAGTAAGTATAATCCACAGTCCGACCTGTAAATACTCTGTACTAGCTTAAGTGTATAATATTTTATAACCGAAATTTGGATCGTATATTCTTCTTCTTTTTCTTTCTTAATTATTAGTGTTGAAAGGGATCGAGATTTATCTGCCAGTTTGAACTCGAGCCTTTTTTTTCGAATTTTTCAACCATGCTAACGAGCTTCATCTGCCCGAGGGTTCGAACTCGGGACTTTTCGGTTTAGCAACCATGAGCTTTACCGACTCGACCACGCCGACCTCTTATATGAAATAGAGAGATAAATGTATAGTGGTGTTTTCCCATCACAGAAGTCCATTTTGACTGTGAGAGATAAACGGTTTTACTAAAATAATAAAATAGTCTGCATACTCTAAGTACCCTAAAATTCAGATATTTGCATTATAGAAAATATAACCTTCACATTAAAATAGAGGCGTAGCGAGAGGGGGAGGGCGGGGGTGCGGACCGCACCGGGTGACACCAAGGCAAAAAATAGTCAAATATATAGAGAAACATTTGAAAGGGGGGGGGGGGTGCAAATCGAAAGTTTGAGGGGGGAGGGTGCAAATCGAAAGCGGGGGGGGGGGGGTGACACCATTAAGTGCCGCATCGGATGACACCCGACCTCGCTACGCCACTGCATTAAAGCAAAGTGATCAAATAATCATAGAAGTAATACACGATTTTGTATTTCTCCAAATTCTATCATTTGTATAGACACGCTTAAGATATTCAAGATGGAGTTTTTGGAAAAACATAAGTAATAATAATATTATAATATGTTAGTATTTCCATGAAAGGAGTAGACTAAATATGATCGTATCAATAAACCTTTTAATCTATCGCTGACAAATATTTTTACATCTATCTACCTCCCAATAAAACATCCAACCACCTCTCATAAAACATCTAACAATCTCTAATAAAACATCATACTACATCTCATAAAACTTTTTACTTTCTTTCATAAAACATCTAACTCCCTCTCATAAAACATATTCCTACCTCTCATAAAACATCTAACTACCTCTCATAAAACATCTAACTACTTCTCATAAAACATATCACCACCTCTCATAAAAGATCTTACTACCTCTTATAAAACATCTAACTACCTCTCATAAAACATCTAACTACCTCCGATAGAGTGCTCTTGACAGTCATGTCCTAAACAGCAGAAAACACACGTGACCGGAACCCCGCCTGTGTAGGTGCAAAGGTCAGGGTTGTTGACCTCTGAGTTCAAACACACCCCAATGTCCTCACACCGGGCGGTGATCAAAAAACCTGTTTCATCCCACGTGATCTCGGAATAACACATTCTCTGGTAACACACAAATTAGATCGTTAATTTATTTGATTGGCATTAACATATATATATATATATATATATATATATATATATATATATATATATATATATATATATATAAAAATATATATATATATATATTTATATATATATATATGGCCTGGTATGGTGATCAAGACGTATGCACACAAGCAAGTTATTTAGTTATTTATTCAGATTTATTCGACCAACGGGAAGTATGAAATGGGTGAGGACGATAGATAGAAAGGGGGAATACCCATCTTTGCCAATGTTCATATGTTTTTTTGTAAGAACACATCTTTGTAAATTTAGACTTCAGTTCTATAAAAGACTCAACATTTGTATATACCTTTTCCCCAACACAAGCAGTGTAGCCCGACTCCAGACATGCGTAGTTGGAGCTTTTGTTGACACAAACTGGGCATTCAAAAACCTCTGACAGCAGGTTGAAATCTTGCCCTGATAATACAAAAAGAATTGTGTATCGGAAGAGCTGATTTCATCTTAATTAAGCAGTCGCTAAATTTTCCGACTCTGTGGCTTAGGGTTATAGCTAATGGCATCTTCTTCTTCTTCTTCGTTCTTAATTTTTAGTTTTGGGAGGGTTCGAACCTTATCTGCCAGAGGGTTTGAACTCGAGACTTTTTTTTTTCGAATTTATCAACCATGAGCTTTGCCGACTCGACCATGCTTCCGTCACAATTAAGGATTACGTGTCAACTGGTTATGTACCATTGATTGACTCCGATTTCAGCCTGCTTTCTTTTTGGATTTGCTTCCATAGCCTTTGTCCAACCAAGAACAAACTACAAGGCCGCAGTTGTCTCTCCTAGAAGAGTGGCTGTCCCCAGCTAACGAGCCTCATCTGCCCGAGGGTTCGAACTCGAGACTTTTCGGTTTAGCAACCATGAGCTTTACCGACTCGACCACGCCGACCCTAAGCAGTCGCTAAATTTTCCGACTCTGTGGCTTAAGGTTATAGTTATAGCTAATGACATCAAACTGGACATTTTAAATATTTCGTGTCTATCACAAACCATGATGTCATCAAATAGGAGAAAACCACCAACAAAGTAAATTTACGGTGCAAACCTAAGAGATTAGATAAACAATAGGCGAAGGGACTTCTTCTTCTTCTTCTTCGTTCTTAATTTTTAGTGTTGGAAGAGATCGAGCCTTATCTGCCAGAGGGTTTGAACTCGAATTTTTAAACAACCATGAGCTTTAGCCGACTCGACCACGCCTCCATCATAATTAAGGATACGGGTCAACTGGTTATGCGCCATTGAGGCCATTGACTCCGATGTCAGCCTGCTTTTCTTTTTGGATTTGCTTCCATAGCCTTTGCCCAACCAAAAACAAACTACAAGTTGTTTGATTTTAAAGTTGTCTCTCCTAGAAGAGTCGCTGTCCCCAGATAACGAGCCTCATCTGCCCGAGGGATCGAACTCGAGACGTTTCGGTTTAACAACCATGAGCTTTACCGACTCGACCACGCTGACGAGGGGACGATGTGATCTAATGGATAACATCGCGACAGCTAATCCGAAAGTCGTCCCCTGACCAGTGTTTCTTTCAGACTTTTTTCCCCGGGAGGGGGCGCACTACATTTTCCGGAGGGTTTGGGCGGAAGATGGTAAAGTATGTATTTTCTATATAATTTCTATTACGTTCAGAGGAAGGTGGAGGGGTAGGTGATACTGGGCAGGCGGGGGGGGGGGGCATAGTTGTGATGTATGATCTAACTAAATTATACGAACCTGTATAAAATGTGTGATTTACCTAAAATGTACAAAGCGTTAACACAGATTGTGACATTACTAAAATGTTCAAACCTGTAAAACATTTATGACCTAACTAAAACAAACACAACTAAAAACAATTAGTGATGTCGCTAAAATGTGCAAACGTATAACACAGTTTTTGGCCTCACAAAATGTACAAACTAGTAAAAAAAGTGTTTGAGCTAAATAGAATGTACAAACCTGTGCACTGTTCAAACTGGTCTGGTTTTGCTAAACCGTAAGGTATGGTTATACCGTCTTTTATGCAGTGAAAGTTTTGTAATGCGGTCAGTACATCGCTTGCGACGAAAATCTCAACCAATTTGTCTTTGAGCAGCATCATCTCGCAGCTACATGTAAGAGACTGGCTATCAATGTAACTGTAGTTACAGAAAAATAAAAATGCATTAGAAAAATCATTTTAAAAATGGTTTTAAAATCGGAGTAGGTTATAGTTTTAAAGCTTATTTCTACATAAATTTACTACTGGGCAAGAAAGCTAACACTTATTTTATTATGCACAATCATATCGTTCAAAACAGACATGTTATTTCCTAAGATAAATTCTAATACTATTTAATAATTATTAATTAATATTATTAATATTATTAATGATATAAATATTTTGTATTACGTATTTTCGTCCATAACTTTATGATCTTTAATGAAGTAAAACCATTTTACATTTTTAAGTCCAGTCTCATGCCAGTCTTATTAATGTTTCCCAGGCGTTCAAGTTCTAATTTTTAAACCTTTTCCAGCAAACTGCGTGTTTTGCCCTGGGTATTCCATTATTCCCAGTCCTGTCTGAATCTATTGCAATGTTTTAGTGTGTGACAAATCCATTTCCATTTTCTTTCCAAGTTTTATATTTCTATTCTTTTCCGTCTACACTTCGTGTTTTTCTTTTCTGTCATGACGCTGTATTTTCAATACATCCATTGGAACTTTTGTTCATCTTCTTCTTCTTCTTTGTTCTTAATTTTTAGTGTTGGAAGGGATCGAGCCTTATCTGCCAGAGGCTTTGTTCGAATTTATCAACCATGAGCTTTTGCCGACTCGACCACGCCTCCATCACAATTAAGGATACGTGTCAACTGGTTATGTACCATTGAGGCATTGACTCCGATTTCAGCCTGCTTTTCTTTTTGGATTTGCTTCCATAGCCTTTGTCCAACCAAGAACAAACTACAAGGCAGCAGTTGTTTGATTTTGGAGTTGTCTCTCCTAGAAGAGTGGCTGTCACCAGCTAACGGGCCTCATCTGCCCGAGGGTTCGAACTCGAGACTTTTTGGCTTAGCAGCCATGAGCTTTACCGACTTGACCACACCGACGTTTTGTTCATAAATGTCTGGATTGTTCTACACCAGGGGTCGGCAACCTTTTGAAGCAGAAGAGCCAAAAGTTACAATTTTCAAATTTTCCCTGGTTTTAAAGAGCCACTAACATATTTTTATTTCAAATATTTTATTTTTTTATTAAGATTATTAGTATTTGCGCAAGGAGCTGGAGAGCCGCATCTTGATATCAAAAGAGCCGCATGCGGCTCGCGAGCCGCAGGTTGCCGACCCCTGTTCTACACACCTTGGATCCAAATGGCATGAATATTTTTACATTTGAGTTCAAGATGAGAAAAAAAGTGGTTTGTGTTTCCGCACAACAGTGTGTAAAGTTGAAAATGAATTAAATTTCGTTTTTTTCAATGTGCTGAATCTTAATCAAAAAGGAATAATATAAGTATTCATTGTTCCCTAGTATTTTTTTCAATTGAAGATACTTACATTGTATGTTTAAAACCAACCATGGTTAACAGAATATAACCATCTATCCGGCTGACGGGGTTTCCCCGTATGTCTCTGTTAAAAAAGGATAATCAAGTTTATCTTAACGCAGTGCTATACAGATTGTTCAAGAAATGATCTACTAATCATCGGAGTTAACAATGTTTTTTAGGATGAAAAACTAGTTATATCTTTAATAGCGTATACTTTTAAGACTGGCTAATTTGTTTTGCAAAATTAAATGTTGATGATATTTATAAATCGCTTACACAAAAAGGTTCGGTATGTGCGGCAAGTTAACATTCATCACACTAACCTCAGCAATACGATTTTCACTTAAATCTCTGTTATAGAAAAGAAAAAATTCGAAACATCTTTTAAAAAACAGATTATTTCTGTACAAGCATATGTGAATATATATATATATATATATATATATATATATATATATATATATATATATATATATATATATATATAAAGAGAGAGCCTACACATACTTCAATAATTATGATGAATATTTAATTTGAATAGAATGTAATTGATTTTTGTTTAATAAATAAATATATGTACGCAGATCAGAGCAAATAATTGTGAACGTGTTTTAAGTTCTACCTTTAATTAAATTATATGTGTCACTCTAATTTGTTTTCTCTCTGGTTTTTTGTCTGGGAACTTATAAATCATGTGATCATTTTCAATAGCTATATTAATGGTTTTATTTATGTCTTTATACGATTTGGATCGTTTGTTTATTTTGTGTTTTGTAAAGAGCTAAACATGCCCCTTTACTATTCACACAGAATAATGTCATGTTTGATTTCAATTCGAATAATCGGAAAAGGAAAAAAGAAAACAAAAAAGAAAAAAGAAAACAGCGAATACAAAATGTGGAATAATAAATATCTTACAAAATTCGTAGCTGATACAAGTTTTTGAAGGCTTTTAAATGAATAACAGCTAATTCATTATATCTGAGATACCTATATATATATATATATATATATATATATATATATATATATATATATATATATATTTATATATATATATTTATATATATATATATACAAGTATTTATATATATATATATATATATATATATATATAGGGAGAGAGACAGAGAAAGAGAGAGAGAGAGAGAGAGAGATTTGATTCAGACAGTTTTATTATTCTAAATTTTAAATTGATTGGATAATAAATGCCACACATTTTTAAAGTCATGGTTTACATTTTGGAAAAAAAAATAATTGATTTGAATAGCTTACAATTGCCTCAGTTGTTCAAAATACTTGAAATCACTTTCTCGAATTTCTCTGATCTTGTTATAATTTAGTTCTCTATATTTGTAGCAGATAAGAAATTTGCATGTTTTTAATTCTTTTGTGTTAGGGTTTTTGTTGTAACTGTATGTATGCAATGTTAAAATACCGGTTACAATAAAAACAACTAATTTGTATTTCATGGAATTAAACACACGAATCTCTCAACAGAAAATGTGCAATTTTTTTTCCTTACTTACAATATTTGAACGGTATTGTGTGTACAATATGGAACTCGGTCTAACTTAGGATCAACGTTCTGGCAGTTGATTCTATGTTGGCTGATTGAGCACATTGACAAGTTCACACGTCCTGGGGCAGAATAACACTCTAATCTCATAACATCGTTGGAAACTCCATCTCCAACAGAAGTTGACGTAGAATCCGCACAAATATCGAACAGGAAACACCGGAGAAGGAAGACATTCCAGAAAGCTCTGTACGTGAGTAGCCTTTTGTATTTCATTACTCTGTTTACTTCTGAAAAATGTACTTCTGGAGATTACTTCTTACTTCTGATTTACCGTTTTTAAAAAGCTTTGTACACTTGTTATATAATTTTATTTTTTGTAAAACAACTTTATTTAAATGTTAATAATATTTCTTTTTTTTAATTACTCCGTTTACTTCTTAAATATTAAGTTTTAAATTTTACCCCGTCTACATCTGTAATTTTATTTTGTGAAATTACACTGCTCAATTTGTTTTTTTTTCATTGTAAAATTTATCACTCACCACCATAGCACTTATCATTATATTTAACAGTTGAAAACATGACTTCAATTTGCGGTAGTCAATTAATTGCAATATAGCTCTTTTAATGCATGAAATGAACGTCTATTTTTTGCTAGATCTATTTTTTGCTAGAATCCTGTTTAGGGCGGACTGCGATGGTGATTATGGAAATTATATCGAGTTAAACATGGGAATAAATTTGTAATCTAGCGTTTTTCTTATATAGGCCTAATTCATTGTGGTATAGATAATGGCTTCGTTTGGGAGTAGTCAAGAGAGGTCCTTTAAACATTAATAAAATCGTTATCATTTGTAAGAAAAAACATTGACTGACTGTACAGGAACTCGGTGATCGATTTAAAAAGAACCTCACTTTGTAGTAATTTATACTCAAAACTTTGTCTCTAAAATCTTAATGACCTAGTTCTGCCATGTTTATATTTACATTATCAGTACTAAAATAAATGCGACGTAATTCTATTCAACTTCTTAAAATGTTTCTTAAGTTACAAAAAAGTAAAAATATTAAATATATTCAACACTTGAGGTAATCTACAAAAAAACAACAATCTCTCCATAAAGTGGTATGTAATATTTTGGACAAAGAAAATCTGAATACAAAATCACCCAAGTTGTTTGTTCATGTATAATTAGCCACAGTAAAAATCTACTGTAAAAAATGTATATCAACATAATGAAACAATCCTGCTCAATTATTAAGGCAAAGTTACATAAAAGAAGCACCATTGTTTCCTAAATAATCATTCAAATTCTAAAGTATTTGCCAAATAATAAAATAGCCATGGTTATATAATCTAAGTGTTTGATTTTTATTTGGACTTTACTGAAGATTGGATGTGGCTAGAGATCTACAGTAATCTAGATTTAGATCTAATTGATGTTTTTAGTGTTTTAGTTAAATAAACAAAATTAAAAAATTGGGGAAAAAAATGTTGTTTGTTTACATTTGTATAGTTTAAAGTAATGTCTTAAGCTGTACATCAAAAGCAAAATTACGGATAACTTACTATGCCAATAATTTTTATTTACTCAATTTAATCCGGTTGAATAAGTCAACACTTAAACCTCTTCATTTCATTTTTACTTCCGGCAAGCATATTTTGTTAGTGCGTTTTTGTGCAGTTATCTCTTCGATGCGCAAAGTTTCAACATCATTTGCATTTGGTAGAGCTACTATTGACTTTACTTAATCCTCTTTGCTCCTTATGAAACATAGGGCCTCAACCATTTCCTTCCATTTCATCCTACCCCCGGCTATTAATTTTGTCATCTCAAAAGACATCACTGTTGGCTTCAGTTCTTCCAGAAGACTCCGCCTCCAGGTCTGTCTTGGGCGCCTTCTCTTCCGCTTTCCCTGGGGGTTCCACTCAAGCGCTTGGCGTGTAACATTTGGGTGAGCCTTCCACAGCGTGTGACCCACCCAGCGCCACTTTCTCCTTCTTATTTACACACCTATAGGCTCTTGCCTAGCTTTCCTCCATAGTTCCAAGTTCGGCACTTTGTCCTGCCATCTCAATTTCAGTATCTGTCTAAGGCATCTATTCATGAAGGTCTGTATCTTTGCTGTGCTTGCTATTATTTCTTATGCAAAAAAATAATTTGCGCATTTGTTTGCAGTCTGGATCAGAGGCGTAGCGAGAGGGGGGGCGGTGCGGAGCGCACCGGGTGACATCATTTACGGGGGTGACACCAAGGCAAAAAATAGCAAAATATATAGAGAAAAACTTGAGGGGGGGGGTGCAAATCGAAAGTTTGAGAGGGGGGGGGTGCATATCGAAAACTTCAGGGGGGTGCAAATCGAAAGTTTGAGGGGGGGGGGGGGTGCAAATCGAAAATTTGAAAGTTTTTCCCAGGGAAGGGTCGCTACGCCTCTGGGGGGTGACACCATTAAGTGCCGCACCGGGTGACACCTGACCTCGCTACGCCACTGGTCTGGATGTTCTTCGCGGTGTTATTAAAATCAATACGGTTATTAAAATGTTATCGTATAAATTTTGTAATTGGAGTTCTGGAGACTAAAACAGTGTTATAAAAACAAAAACAAATATATTACTGAAAATGAAAGGGAAAAAAAAGCAATCGAATGGGGTTTTAAAAAATTAAATGATTTTATTCATAACAGCTTCTACAATGTTAGTTTAGAGCGAATATCGCTAAAAATAGGGTTTATAATAAACCGGGAGTGATTTCCCCTAAATTTCTCGAATATTCTAATATAACACTACGAGGGATGGAAACTCAGGACACTATTTGTAATCCATTTTTAATTACTTAAACTTTTTATAATAGAATAGAACCGCGTAAAAAAAAAGAATTGCAAACCAAGTAAACGCATAATAAAATGTGCATAATAGTGCGGGATATTATTAGTACTTTATAAATTAGCATGCTTTTTTTGAGAAATCGGATATAGCGTAAATTACTACTTCCGGTCGACGGGAATGACTCAAAATTTGATAGAAGGCAGATATTTATATCTTTTATTCACATGTGAAATTTCACATATCTATCTGAAATAGTACTCAAGTTATACTTTTTCTACTTTGAATTTTTCAAAAACCTATTACTTGAGTACTATTTCAGATAGATAAATGAAATTTAACATGTAAGTAAAAGATCTAATTCTCTACCTTCTGTCAAATTTTGAGTAATTTCCGGTGACCGGAAGTGCTAATTTACGCTATTTCCGATTTCTCAAAAAAAGCATGTAAATTTATAAAGTACTAATAATATTGCGCACTTTTATGCACATTTTAATTTGGCGTTCGCTTGGTGCGCAATTCTTTTTTCTATGAGATTCTATTCTATTTTTAAAAGTATAAGTAATTAAAAATCGTGTCTATATTCCAAGTTATATAAGAATATTCGAGAAAGCTTAGGGGAGATCACTCCCGGTTAATTTTTTTTTGTAACGATATTTTGTGTGTGGTCATAATGTCGCAATTCTCACTACCCATGACCAACTTCTCAAGAACATGATGTGTGATAAAAGTCTGCATTTTCCTCCCAAACTGTTAAGGACTTTGACACACATACTGTTAAGGACTTTGACACACATTAAAATATAGTTTATTTTATTGATTGGAACAGTTTTTGTGTTATTCAATACATAAAAACGTTTTTTTTCTTGAAGGTTAAAATCATTGTCCCCCTTCTAACTACTCCTCCCTACAGCTTGTTTATTTTAATAAATTTAAAAAAAGAATGTTAATGATTATTGAATTTTTTTTTTATTTCAGTAAAAAAAAAACACACGTAAATATTCCTTTTAAGAATGTTCTTCTACTTCTGCTTCTGAAATGAAATCACAAACAAAACAATGTGTATCATTAATGGATGAATATAAGCCATTTTTTCGATAAATTCTGTAATGAAGTGTTAACATAATGATTCAAAATAATTGATTATAATTGATTATCTACATCTACATCTACATCTACACCTATACCTATATCTATATCAATATCTATATCTATATCTATATCTATATCTATATCTATATCTATATCTATATCTATATCTATATCTATATCTATATCTATATCTATATCTATATCTATATCTATATCTATATCTATATCTATATCTATATCTATATCTATATCTATATCTATATCTATATCTATATCTATATCTATATCTATATCTATATCTATATCTATATCTATATCTATATCTATATCTATATCTATATCTATATCTATATCTATATCTATATCTATATCTATATCTATATCTATATCTATATCTATATCTATATCTATATCTATATCTATATCTATATCTATATCTATATCTATATCTATATCTATATCTATATCTATATCTATATCTATATCTATATCTATATCTGTATCTGTATCTGTATCTATATCTGTATGTATATCTATATCTATATCTATATC